CCCCTTGGGCTAATAAACAATCCTATATATATATATATATATATATATATAGTGAAAACCAAATGCTGTATACATATCTAAGCCCTTTGATGTGATATAAAGTTATTTGGTTAATTCAAGTTATATGTCAACCTCGAAGCATGTGAGTGTGACTGGGTTTATATTTATGTACCTTCATGTGCTCCTATCTGAACGAAACCAGCCGTGATGGCTCAAAGCCACTAGAAAAGAAAAGTAACGTTTATTCTCGGCAATCAAGATTTGATGACCACCACCAACCCTTACTGAATCTCCAAGTCTGTCGAGGCAGTACAAGAAATTTTAACCGACTCTTCCTTCTTACAATCTTCTGTTCACTGGGTTTCTTTGAAAGAGGATGCCGACGGCCTCTCAGATCTAACTTTTCTTGGTGCTATCTCCACATGAGGCCACTCTTTCCGCTGCACCCCAGTCAATTGTATGGCCGGTAAAGGGCAATGTGTTGAGTTATTTCCGATCTTTGAGCATCCAATTTTCTGCAAAATCGCTGGTGTTTTCTGATTGTCGTGCTGATTGTCCAGTCTCTCCGATAGTGTTGTGTAGGCAAGCTAATGAAGAGGGTGGTCTTTTTATTTTACAATTGTACGAATATTCCATTTTAATAGTTGCGACACAAGCTTCTGAGCCAGTTCGTAGGAGGGTAGACATATAAATCGCTTTTCCTGGATCCCCTATGCTTTACTTTCATAATCTCCGCCCTGCCATCATCACGATCCGTATATTGCGTTGTATTGTTTCTCCTGGATATATGTTTCTAATAAATACCTGAATTCGTTTTTCAGCTCACCTTCCCAGCACTCAGTATCAGTTAGTCGTAGGTTTCCTATGAACATACTCCTGAGATGTTCGTGTACATGGACTGTACACCAAAGCTCATCAATAGATCGCTTCCCCCAAATCTGGTACCTCTAATTCTTTGGCAAAATTCGAATCAGTTTTTCATAGTGATTCTCCTTCATTAATTTAGGACAGATAAATTTCACCAATTTATGTTTTTCCTTGTGTTTACTCTTGACTGCCAATCTCGATGGTTCTTCTTCTTTATGTATTTTCGGCAAACCATATGCTACCCGGCTCTTGTATCCTTTCGCATTAGTCAATTCATTGACCATTTGTCAAGTTCCCTGTTCATACTCATTTCTTCCAACACTTCTTGTAGTGCCCCCTTGATTTTTATTATTAAAACTTGTGTTACCAACCGATAAGTTGATGTGTCCCCGAGAATATTTTCCACTTTATCTGCATATTCCTTCCTTCCATCACTACTGTGGCATACAATCTTAAAGCATACCGTATATGCGTTGGCATGCCTTGTAACAAGCGTAGATAGTATAGTTTATATGCTGTCAATATCGGATACACACGCAAATACTTCTAGCTATAGAAAGGTAAGTGGGGTCTTTGCTAGATAATCAGCACAAAGGGAAGCATGACCATTCGTGAGTAAGTAAATACACCTGATCAATCCTTGAATGGAATCATGGAGAAGGATGACCAAGTAGAAAATATATAGTGAAATAGTCTCATTTAGATACACAGAACAGGTATGAATACTTACCAAGAGAATTTCATTCAATCTTTGGGTCGGTAATAATAGCCTTTACAAGCTGGTAAAGCTACGAGAGATTACGTAGATTATAGAAAAGAGTTGATGGAGATGAGATTTATTCAAATAAAGTGCAAAGTAAAAGAATACTCATCTTAGTATTAGAGAGAAAAATAAAGTGGACATTAGGTCTTGAAGACCAAGTGGAACCAAGCAAAGAGCCATGCTACAAGTAAGATGGGCATCGGAGTCATCTGCCTTGGCCTCAATTCATGCCAATATTATTACTATTATTAGTGGTAATACCATTATTTTAGACAGGAGTAAAGAGAATGTGGAAGGAGGAGCTATAAAGGAAATAAAGCTGAGGGACAAAGGTCGAAGTAATCTAGGCCAAATCCCATTATCAAAATAAGGCAGGATTAATTGATGGATAAACTCAATGTGATTTAGTACATCACAACAGGCTACGTATATATTAAGCTCTGTAAAATGAGGAAATAGTACTTAAAAAAGTGCTACCACCTTCAAAGGGTAGAAACAGTGTCAATGCGGGCCGTGTATAAAAGCGAGTTTTGGCGGACGAGCATTTGTGAACACGTATAGGCCTTGGAACGCCAATGATCTGTGGGGAAACTCGAAAGGAAGACACTCTATTATGAATGTGATGAACAGGATCGTTAGCTTGAACATAATGCTATTAACTCGAAATCAGATGAACTGCTCAGAAGAACAAGAGCAAAGACATTACAGAAACTTGCTGAGTATCTTTGTGAGCTAATCTATTATTAAGTCTAAAATCTAGCTAAGTATATCTGCACTGATGATAAGGGTATCGGTTAAAGAATGCAGTCAGTTTAAACAAGTTGACTTCGAATAAATAACTGAAAAGTAGGTAGTACATACAACGGTGCAGCCAGAGTTCCCGTATAATCGATTGTATTAAGACCAAGATAGTGTTGTCCATGGTCAATTCAAGTTAATTCAATTATATTCAATTATATTCTATGCTATGCTATTCTATTCTCTTCTATTCTATTATATTTTATTCTATTCTATTCTATGGTATTTTATTCTATTCTATCCTATTCTATTCTATGTTATTCTATGCTATTATATACTAATCTATTCTATTCTTTTCTATTCCATGCTATTTGATTCTATTCTATGCTATTCTATGCTATTCTATTTTAGTCTATGCTATTATATTCTATTATATGCTATTCTATTTAATTCTATTCTATTCAATTCAATTCAATTCAATTCTATGCTATTCTATTCTATTTTATTCTATGCTATTTTATACTATTATATGCTATTCTATGCTATTCTCTGCTATTCTATTCTATTTTATTCTATTTTATTTTATGCAATTCTATTCTCTGCTATTCTATTCTATTTTATGCAATTCTATTCTATTCTATTCTAATATATTTTATTATATTATATTATATGCTATTTTATACTATTCTATGCTATTTTATGCTATTCTATTCTATTCAATGCTATTCTATTCTATTCTATGCTATTCTATGCTATTCTATTCTATTCTTTTCTATTCTATTCTAATCTATTCAATTCTATTCTATGCTATTGCATACAATTTTATGCTATTCTCTTCTATTCTATGCTATTCTATTCTATTCTATGGAAATAATAATGCATACTGTGGACTCCAAACAAGGTGCGTTCCTCTAGTTCTTCTTGTAAATATGACCAAGTTGCGAAAACTAGGTCAAACAACTTCTATAAAACGAAAGGAGACCGTGACCATACAAAAGGCTACACCATATTAGTCTTCATATCTTCCCGAATAACGTTTAATGGAAGAAGAAAAAAAGCAAATAAAAAAATCAGTAGTATGAGATATATTCATCCTATTTCCTTTAAGGTGATGAAGGATTGGCAGTAGAATTTTCCCCACAATGATATGAGTGAACAGGATGAAAACAACCTTTGGGAAAGCAAGGCTATGTGAAATTCAATGGAGACATCAGCTTTACTCATATCATTGTAGGAAAATTATACTATCAGTCCTTCATCACCTTAAACGAAATAGGGTGAATACATCTCATAGAATTGATTTACTGGTTGTCTCGAAACTCTGCTTATATACGAAAAAAATCAGTTTATCGACCTTGATGAAACTACCGTGGTCTCAAGTTTAAAGTAAGAAAGGCTGGCAACACATACTCAAG